AATGACTCAGACGCAGCTCATGTCTCAACGCGTAAGTTTGTCGATAAGTTTGTCAGCTATGGAAATGGAAAAAATAAATAAAAACTATTTATTTCATCGTATACAATAATAGATGTCATAAGTATACAACCAACAGTTTTTATTTGATTGAAGTCAAACATATCCTAATAAAATTTTAAAAACGCGAAAATTTGTATGCATATTTGTTACTCTTTCACGCTAAAACGGTTAAACGGATTTGTATGAAATTAAGTGCGCATAGTTTATGACCTAGATAAAGACATAGAATTAACGATATTAAATACCCTAGATACACCACGACCGCTCAAAATGTGTCCCAATATCTAAATAGTCTGTGGTCCCAATCAAGAAGTGCTTGAACTCCACTCAAGCACTTCTTAGTACACAGTCACACGCGGACCGTTGAAAAGTCAAGATGCCAAAGAGTTCCGTGAAAAAATGCACAAAAATACTAATAGTACGTAAAGTGTCGTTTTTTCGACGGGTATCTAATTAATGTTTTTTAATTAACGCCTTTAAAGCAAATTTTATTGTTGTAATACTTACTATAAACTGATTTAATTAAAAATATTTGTGATATTCAAATGCATGGTCGGTTATACGTCGCCCTTAGCCATCTCTTTTCTTCGCGGTCTGTACCTGCTATATTGTTAACAGCGCATTCAGAATTACGCGTGAAAAGTAAAAAAAAATAAGGTCTATATTCTTTCACATATAACACTAAATCGTAAAATTTTACGAACTTGACGCATGCATTTTAATTAAGACCTTATGCCGTATGCATTAAAGGTGACTTTCAATGTTTAAATAAGGCATTATATTGTTTTTGACCATGCGATCATCTTACGGACCTCCAATGTACCTTTTGGACACGTTTCGGCCACGATTTTGTTCGTGTTGTTGTATCTAGGGTAGTTAATATCGTTGCATTAATACTTCTTGTCCTGGACGTGTTTTTTTTTGTGTTGCTTACATATTAAATTATATGTAGTTACTAGTCGCGTCATGTAATTAGAACGCTGTAAGAAAGTGGAGAGGGTATGATTACGCATTTGCGCACCAAAGTACTAGGCCTCTATTCTAAATTGTTTATCGATAGAAAATATCGATATTTTCTAAAATCGATCTTACCCTCATCACTTCGCTGCACTGAGTATATGATCTGACCTTGACGCGTCCCATCACAGCGGGGCTGACCTCCCTGCACCCCACCGACTTTGGCGATTTTGATTCCAAACAAAATTTGTGTGATGCGGACTCTAGTGGGGGTGCTCCATGCAATCAAAAAGGATCGAACACAAAGTCTTTGACCTGTTAAATGTGAAAGCTTTAAAAGAAAACTACAAAGAAAACTATAAATTGATAATAAATGAGATTACTATGGTGGTTTACCTAACGTTATGAAATTTTTTTTATGCGCCTTTAGTTTAATCAAATATTATAAACTTTGCTTTGGTGATTGCATAATTATTTAATTTAGTGACCATTGTCCAAAACAACAGACGGGGATTACTGCTTTCTTCAACCTGCGACATAAACGTCATTGATTGGTATTGTATATAGGGTGATTAAAACATTTGAAGTTAACTTCTGGCATCTACATATTGGGTTTCTGTGAATTATGTAGGTATATCAAATTATGAGACTAGGGACTGACACTGAATTTGTGTATATCACAATCTTAGACCTCCGGCATTGACATGACAATGCCAATTTTAAATAGCCGACGAATAAAAGTAAATGAATTTTATATTTACTGCTAAACTATTAAAAAAAACATAAACAAAAGATGAATTTTTGAGTAAGTGCTAGTTTACTATAAAATTTACATATATTAGAGATATTTATGTAACGACTTGATTTAACTTCACACATTTTTGCGAAAATTGAGGCCCATCTGTAGCCTTGACCCCGCTGGTAAAGTCTTTATATGTCTTAATAAATCAATCTATTAGACCGACGCAAGGTACTTAATAATTCCTGCGATATTAATTCCCTTACTGAAGTAACAAGACTACGGTATATACCGTCTTAAAATACTAACTAACTAAAAAGTGTGAAATAAAAAAGGTAATTTTAAAAAATCAAAAAACCCGACTGCTTAGTTATACTTCAAATAAAAACTGAAAAGAAAAAAACAAGTCCAGTAGTCTATAATTCTGTTAATAAGGAGCTTTAATAGTCGGGACCCATTAGATATTCAAGAATACATAATATTTTTCGACAGTGGGTAGCTTTGTTCCTTATTAGCAGAATTATAGACTACTGGACTTGTTTTTTTCTTTTCAGTTTTTATTTGAAGTATTACTAAGCAGTCGGGTTTTTTGATTTATTAAATTTACCTTTTTTTAGATATGTGTACAATTATTATTTTATTTTATTATTTATTATTATTAATTTACAGTCAGGCAACGTAGGCCCATAGATACATACCTTAAAGACTAACATATATACAGATATATAACATAGTTAAAAACTTATTGAACACGTATTGACGGCGACGTGTGACGCAGAATGGTGTCCGGTATCCGGCCTCGGAACCACCGGAACACAACACCTTTCGGCCAAAGCTCTTCTTTCATAAAGTTCGCTAGGTGTTCGGTTGGTACTTTCACCACGAATGAATTAAAATTCACATTATGACGAGATTCCAACCGTGCGACTCTCAGGGAGAACTTCGTTTTGATCCGCAGATACTCAACGATCTCCTCTTCCTTCGTAGAGTAATGCAGCCGCGACACGTACAGCGGCGTCGTTGGTATGGCGGGACGCAACAGATGGTTCGGTCCGGTCGGGGCAGCACCACACAGGTTGCGGCGAGCGGGTTTCCTCTTCTTCCTTTCCACCTTGATGAAGCCTTCTTCGCCACAATTTAGATTTTGTGATGCCGCCGGAGTAGCACGTTTGTGTTTGCTACTCTTCTCTGTTAGTTGTAATATTCGCTCTGGTTTCGGAGCGGCATCGGCAGGCCGAAATGCGGCTGCAGCTGCGTAGGCACGTTGCGGTGTGGAAGTGCAAGCGCGTGACGTCTCCGATATGGCGGAGGGGCGGGCGGCGGCGACGGGGCGCTGGGCATCGCGCGCGGTGACGGCGGCCGGTGACGCACTCGCAGGCGCCGACTCAGTACTGCCGACAGATGCATTTTGCGCCCCGCGACGTGTATTTACATTGGAAAACTCGGGTGACCTACTTACACAAGCAGTGTTGCTTAAAAACTCTACTTGGGCCCGCAACTCACCGATGGTGTTATTCGAGTCCTCCAATTTGCTCACAACTTCGGCCAGGCTTGCTTTCAGGTAGTTGATATCCTTCAGCAGCCTGGTGACGTCAACGTGGTCAAACGTGACAGGGGGCAGCTTGTGCAGCTCCTTCGCCACGAACAACGGAACGCCATCAGGGTCGGTCTCCTTCAGCAGGGTGATGATATCCTGGATACTCTTTTCTGTTCCATCTCTCCGGCGAGATGGCATCTGGTCTGCCTTGCCAATGGACCGGAAGAGCAGCGCCTTACCACTGCATACCTCATCTTCCTTAAAGCTTGATTTACAAATCTGCAAGATGCTGACCTCGTCCATTGTATCTATTGCATTTTGTATAAATGCTAACAGTTCGTTAGTTATGAGTTGTTGGGAGCTCATAGTCGTACACTCGCACAACGGCTGTTGCCGTGTGAGACGCGAATTAATAACTTCTCACGGCACAGTGGCGCACGTCCGTTTCCAACCGTGCATCGCACCGCACCACAATAAAAGGTCCAATGTCTTTAACCTTATACTGAACTAGTGGCCCGCCCTCGCTTCGCTTCGGGGTAGAATTGATCAAAATCCTTTCTTGGCGGATGCCTACGTCATAACATCTACCTGCATGCCAAATTTCAGCCCGATCCGTCCAGTGGTTTTGGCTGTGCGTTGATAGACCACTATGTCAGTCAGTCACCTTTGACTTTTATATATATATATATATTTTATTTTCCGCGTACTTTGGCAATATAAATGTTGATTGAACTGACGCCGTAACTTGAGCCTAAGATGTTTTTTTTTGCTGGTATAGGGTTTGTGCTAGAAAGGGATTGTAATCGTTTCCTATTAGTCAATAGGAAACGATTACAATTAATTTAATTAATTAAGTAGATGAATTTTCATGACTTTGAGTAGAAGGAAAGATGTCTTGGGACTGCCAAGGGATCCATATTTGGCGCAAATTATGTTTATGTAAGAAATATAAATATTACTTACCAAATATCGAAATAAATTACATACACAAACAAATACAAAAATACAAAAAGAAGCTCAACACCGAAAGACAAACTAAATTGAACAAATTTGCACTTGTATCACGCACTCAACATTAAAGCAGAGTCTTGAAAATAGCAAGATCAATGGACCACTTTAGTTCAAAAGTGTATGAAAATATCGAGATACCCACAGTGCGAGCGCATATTTTTTAATTATTTTATTTTATTTTTAGGCTAAGGTTAATGTTGCTTTAAAATTGTGTATAATGGCAGCGCATAATGCGAGCTACAACAAGTGAAATAAGTGTAATCTCTCGGGCGAATCTCATCGTTTAATATCAGTCGAACGTCACTTACAGGTAAGTTCATTTGACTTTCAATTATTATTTGTTTTAATTTTGTTAGATTAAAGAACCTACTTTTACATCTTTGCTATTGATTCATCTTTGACAGCGCAGTGGAATTGTTTGATGAAATTCTTGAGGAAGTTAGATTTTATCCGTATTGAAGATTATTCCTGCCAAGTATGTGTTCAATTCTAGAAAATATCTGAAGAAGTCTGAGGGCCCGAAGTCTGGTTAGTACAATATTGGGAATAATGTCAGGTGCAAAGAAATGTATATTTGATTGAGAGAGTTCGAAAATGCCCTGCAGCGTTGTATTGCACTATAATCCGCAATGAAATTTCTATCTTATTGTATAGTAAAATATCGCTTCCTTGAAAAGCTGTACTTTACTAACTTACCGAGTTGGTCGAGCCGCGCGGGCGCAGCGCAAGGCGGGCCCCGCCTAGGTATTGGGCGCGGCAGGGCTTGCGGCCGCGCGGGTGTGACCTTGGCCGCGCTGTCGCGGGCCTCGAATGTCATCACGCAAGCCGCAACTACGATGAAGCCTGGAAAAAACTCCAAATTGTCGTTCAAAGTTTGATGAAGAATTACCGACACAAAAAGTTCAGAAATGCTATATTCAGTAAGAAAAAACTAAAATAAGTATAAGCTAAACTATGTATTCCATGGTAAGCAAGTTTTTTACGGCACTGTTTAAGCTTTTACACCTAGACCACAACAAACTAAATGTGTCATAATCTCTAGGATTTTCGAATTGTTGGAAGTGTTTATGATATTTGGATTTTTCTTTTAAGCAACGTATTAGAGGAGAGCTGAACCAGTTTGGATAATTATTACTCTTGTGGGAAGTCATCATAGGTGTATGCTTTGAAATGATAATTTTTATTACTTCATAAAAGCGTTCAACCATAATATTCAGGTCTGTGTGATCAAGTGTTTCTAGCCAGTTTATAGAACTTAGCTGAATTTTGATATTGAGAAGATCACATTTACAAAAGGAGATTGCTCAGCTTCCATACATGTTTGGCCTAAAGACCAATAAACATGAAAAATTGTTTCCTAGATTCGAAATTAAAATATAAATTACTGTAGAAACGAATATTATTGATGGACACCCCTGAGAACTTCTATAAACCATATACACTGAACGATTTTGAGGTCATGTTTGCAAATAGGAACATAGGTATTAAAATAATAAGAAACAAATAAGTTATATAGTAAACTAGGGAAATCAAGCCAAGTACCGAAATTATGGATTAGATTCAGGTATATAGAGCATGTAGATTAACAGATAGTTGCCTGATTTTAAAGTTAATGCATAAGAGTAACTTTTAAAATCAGGTGTCATCTATGCATTTCCGGTTATAATAAGGTACTCTGTGACAGAAACTGTGTGATGATTGTGAATGAGCCACAGATTAGAGAGAATTTTTAAACTCTCGTTAATCAAAGAAGATAAGAGATTTAGGTTATATAGCCATATATATATTCAGTAGCTTCATTATTTTTGTTATGTTTTTAATATAACCATATTTTAGATTTTTAGTGTATCAGACCTTATAATTTTATTTATTTATTAATTTATAGTCAGGCAACGTAGGCCCATAGATAGATACCTTAAAGTCTAAACAGATTATAATTTGTTTATGGAGGTGTTTGGCGGAAAATGTATGACAATAGATCTTATGATGTCGCCTACTATACAAAATAATTGTCTGAGCACATTTGCATGTAATGAAAATGATAATATAGTTGTGGATATTAATACCACAGTGTAATAAAAAAATATTTTATTTTATCGATCTTTACAAAATAGATTTGTTTTTATGTTATATAAACAACTTGGATCAGTCTTTGGCTGAATGTTACTACACCCATAGCCATTAAAAATGATTCGTATGTTTTCCAAATCGGTAAAATTAAAAGTCCTTTTTAAAGTAAATATATTAAACAAAGGTGTCCATTGAAATCTAATAATTAAATTATAATAAATTAAATTATAAATTACGCCAAGAATTACCGTGTATGTCAATATTTTTTGTGCATTTGGGCCAATTTGAGCAATCTCCTTTAATGTTAACTGGCCTCACAAACTCAGCCTGGGGTTTGATACTAGGAATATCAATAGAAATTGGAGGATGGTGTTCATCTAATCGAGACAACGGTTCAGCACCACATACACTAATGTTTTCCATATTAGAAAGTACAAGATCCAACATGCGTTTATTTTTATTAGTTACAATATTAAATTGATTAAGGTCTCAAAAAGATATTATTTCCAGAAGAAGTAAAGATTTAGCATTTTGTTGCCCCACAATAGGTATCATGTGAGTGGAATTAACATCACTTATCCAAGACACGTCAGGAGTATTAAAAACGCCAATATTAATGGCTTTCTGATTATTTATAGTCTCTTTTATTAGTAATAGACAATTCTCATAAAAGCTCAGTAAATTATCATGATCCAAATAAGGAGTTCCCATGACATAATTGGTAGTATTGTAATTTCTTACTTTTATTTGGGATTAAAACGCTATCTTCGTCTCTAGGAATGAAAAAGCTATTTTGTTTCCTAGGAACCAAAACGCTATGTCCTTGTAAATAGAGAACAAACTAGCTCTTCGAATAGACGTGATAAAAAATATTTATATAACCGCACTGGGCCCGCGTGACGAGTCATGGCTCAATCTCCTCCGGTTCCATAAAAAAGGTATCCTACTCACCAATCCTTACTAGGCCCAATGCGGAATGCGCCCAGTCCGGACCGAAAAGGAACCTTGTTCCAATAAAAAAATTCAGGACGCAGATCATGGGGGTAGAGGGTAAGAGAAGAAAAGTAGGGTAGAGATACCGTTGCCCATGGGCACCGCTCCGCTACTGATAATGTTTACAGGTCCAAACTTTCTTGGTATAATTTAATGGATTCTTTTTTTACGTCGTTTTCTCAATATTTCTTGACTCAGAAGAGCAGCAACGATTAAAACCCCATCACTTACTGCACTCATGTTTGCATATGATAAAATAATTGAATACAAGAGTTGAATACAAGAATTGCTTGGGAAATTATTGTATGTGCTGTTTACACTAAGTTTTTAAGCAAAACTTGTATAGCACATCAAGAATTTTATGTGCTATTTAGAACATGCAAGTCAATTATTACTTCTATTTAATTGTTTGCAACAGCAGGAAACTTGCATCATGTAAATGGCGCTTAATAGTGATCTACTTATATTAAGTTGCTTCTCGGTTTAAGTAGGATGAATCTTGTTACGACGTTATTAAAATTAAGAATCTAAGAATGAAAGTATGATAATTATCTATTAAAGTGCTTTAGACTGTTCTTTACCTCCAAAGCCCATAACAATAGGTCCTGCGTAGGAGAGATTGTTCAGGTGGAACCCACGCGCCTCGTCCTTCACCGACACCGTAGCGTTGCCGCGAATTTCCTGCGCCACAGACAACGTATCCGCGTAGTATCCTGAAAAGAAAACCAATAACGTTATGAATCAGTGTGATTATCATATGATAGAGTTAGAAAATTGAGAATTCATTCCTTATAGGATAAATAACATGTATTACTTATGTCGCCTAGCCCTTCGGTAAAGTGAGTATTTCACTCCATTTAAGAAAAAGTTTTGACAAAAAGATTAGAAAAAATATAACACCTTGGATTTAGTATCAGGCTGGATTTTTGAGTAATATTTCTCTTTGTAAGTTTTATCTAAATACATTAAAATCAAGCAGTTTAATACTCAAATAAAAATATATTTAACTTGTTTTTTTTATGGGTATTAATTACTACTTAGACTACTTAATACAATTTATCATGTTATTATTTGTAACTCTGAGAATTCATTCCATATAGGATTGTAAATAAAATGAACTAAATATGCTAATACTACCCCCGCTGTCACAACTCTCCTATCACCGAGGTAAGTTGTGGCAGATACCGAGGTTATTTGTGACAGCTTTATATTTAGACTATTTAAGTATTAAAAATCACCTACACATATTAAATTTTTTAACCATAAGTAATATTTTACCATCAAATATCTATAAGACTACCATAAAAAGATGTTATATCTTTTAAGTAATTATTTTATGACATGGCTTCGAGATCTTCAAGATTATATGCAGACAAAAATCATAGGCAATTTTGAGAAACGTATTGTAGCTCGCCTCCAGTACAATGTGCGTGTGACCAACCTTTGCATTCTAGGTATTACACACACTCCTCATCAGTTTTTGTGCATTTAGGAGAGTTATGACAGCCTGTCACAAATTTATTACGTTATTATTTGTATCTCTGCAAATTACTGACTTGTAAAATTCGTGAAACCAAATTCACATAGAACACGGCCGAGAATTCGTTATTCAATATCGAATATTTCCATAGTATTAACTTGGAAAGTAAGCTGAAAACGATGTAGTTGTATGCATTCATACTACTTATATGTTTAGTATATTCAGTCAATGTTCGACATGAACAGAAGTCGTTTTTATTAGCTAGCCCGTCAGTTACACGGGCGCACGGTACCGGAGGCACCGGCCGGAAGTGTCAGGGCAGGAACCGCTCGCTGACAGGAAACGACCTGCGTCCAACTGTCGCACGTCTCGATATACGGTTGAGCCCTATTTCTGGATAAAAATAAAGCAATACCGTCCATTTCCGATAAATAGTTACTCGACGAAGGTTTTTCTATTTTTGTATTTTTATATTGATACTGAAAAACTAGTATGCTGAATGAACGATTAGAAATAATGATTACTGTCTTATTCCCTGGACCTATTGACTGCAAATGCATAAACATTATTTGATAATAATTGTACACTAAGCCTGCCCTCAAAAACATATAAATGTGTCAAAGTTTGTATGGGAGATCATCCAAAAGTGCATAGGATTGATTGAAATTTTGCACACCTACTCCGTATAAAATAAAAAAGCTATCTGTGTTTACATTTTTCAAAACTACCCTCATAAAACAAACATATTTGTACAGCATATTGAAGTTTTAAATAGTGCGTCAACGCACAAATGACGTAGGCATCAAGCGAGAAAGGATTTTTGAATACTCCACCGGAAATTGGGTGATATAGTGGTTCAAAATTTGTATGGGAAAACGAGTTGTGCTAGCTTGACAGTTTTGAAACTTGTCTTAGATAAACTAAACTGAAACTTAAAAAAACATGTTTATTTTTTTTAAATTCGATCTCTACGATTAGAAATAAGGATAGCGAGTTACCTATTTATAAACTATATTCAACAAATTTGCTATAATACGTTATTATTAGCTGTGCCCCGCGGTTAACCTGCGAAGTTCCTGTTTCCTTGGGAATTCCGGTATAAAAAGATATTCAACCTATATGCCTAAAATAAACTTTTTGCTAAGCTGAAAAATCAGCGTGACCATGCCCCTGACCGAGTAGATTTCAGATATCCCATCTATGAACAAGAAAACTGCAAAATTTTCCCACTAGGGGCGCTTTAATCGCTTGACCCAAAACTTCTATCAAATACATACATATTAGCTTATATTAATGTTAAAGCTTTTTATTAAACAAATTACAAATGCCGCGTTGTGCAGTTCCTGGTTGTTGTGAGAAAGCTGCATGCTTCTCGACTAAAATATAATTTTATATGTTGCTTTCAAAGGGGTAGGGGAGGAGGTAAAAATGAGCTGCTGTTTACACCATGGTATGGATCTGGGACAGGTAATTGCATCTGGATGTCTTTTCATTTTGATCAGAAAAAAACTGCACCAAAATTAAAATTGCGGTCATATGCCTCAAGTCTGTAAAAAACCCAATGTTATACTTCCCATTTTAGCCAGAGGTAACCTAACTCTATGTAATGTCTGACTGATGCAAAAATACGATAGATTTGAATAATGAGCCCGCTAAAAGTTACTGAGATCCATGAACTATTAAAATAATCATGAAAAATGCATCTATGTACCGAGAATGAGTATTCTAGCATAATAATAGAAGGAGTGCCTTTCTACTAGATCAGCTTTTCTGCCTTGCACAGATGCTCCTCTCCTTTTCAGCTATATTACAGACCATATTGAATACACTTTTACCACTTATTTAATATTTTTAACAACAAAAAAAAAACACGTTTAAAATTTGACACCTGTAATATTCGGCTGTGGTTTGGGTCAAGCGTTTGCAACGCCATTTATGTCGAGCTTTGCGTATACTTCTCCATTTTCAGCATATTTGCTCTGATTTGTTTTTAATTAAATACTCTTCAAGCTTAATTTGACACGTGAATAACACCTGGGCATAATGTTGGAGAAGTCTTTAGTTTACCGAATATGTATCTATGACTTCTTCTTCTTCTATATTATTTATACTATTTATGAGAGAAAAGGATTCACTGACTGATTCATCTTGACCCATTTTAAAAATTCTTTCACTCGTAGAAAGTTTTACTGTAAAGGATTACAAAAAAACAACATTTTCCCAATAATTCTACGGGAATGAGACTACGGGTTTTCTAATCCTGTTTTTTAAACCACTTAATTGATTTTCAAAATGAAATCTTCAATGTTTGAAATTGTAATCCAGGGGTAATATTCTATTTTTATCAGATCCTACCATACCTATTAATTCGGGATGCTGATTCATGTCTACTTAATACAATACTCCTGTGCGTAGCTGGAGCATGATTTCTTCTATAAACTCTGTTATGTAAAGAGGGAAATAGACATAAATATTGATGGAGTGGCTGTTTGATTCATAACGTAAAGCCAAAACCACCTAGATTAATGAGATTTAAACAGTCCTTTATATTGAGCTGAATTTTAGACACACTAAGATAGGATTTTTGGAAATTCACAACAGACAACAGATAGACAGACAGACGACAGACATTACATGACAGATAGACAAACAGACGACTGACATTACATGACAGATGGACGACAAATCGACTAGTTATTACTTTTTTTTAATTGTGTGTATATATACACACAATTAAAAAAAAGTGGCTTCTAGACCTTCTCATTTCAGAACCAATACAATATTTAAAAAAAAAGAACAAACACCCTGGCCGTACACAATAGAACGTGACGTAGTATTTGAAAGTTTTGAAAATTGTAAATCGATTGCCGTAGAATGGAAACCAAGGTTATCTAAGCGATGCGTGTGGAATTTTCGTATTTTCATGCAATATTTTGGTTATTTAAGTCCTTCATATTTGTTTTTGTTGCTTTTGTAATTTTTTTTCATTGTATAGTGAAAAGCTCTTCGATTGTTTCCTTTTGTTTATTTGTTGTTAATTTAATACATCCGTGTGAAGCCGAGACGGGCCGCTAGTTTTTAATAACTTGCAACAGTAGATGAATACCATCTAAGTCAATAATAACACAATTATGTTTCGTAATACACAGCTTAGATTAGTTTGGGATTAAATAAATTGTTGCATGTTTTTAATTTGGGTGAAAAAACTTTAATAAGTTCTGTGTTATGGAAGCTACTAATGTATTTACATATGGCATGTTTTTAAGTACTATTATCAAATTTGTATCAAATAAGAAATGATAACTATTACAAACAATTTTTTATGAATTGGAAATAGAGATTTTATCAACAAGGACATTGAAAACAACAACGTAGTATTCATTGTTTTCCAAATCGGTAAAATTAAAAGTCCTTTTTAAAGTAAATATATTAAACAAAGGTGTCCATTGAAATCTAATAATTAAATTATAATAAATTAAATTATAAATTACGCCAAGAATTACCGTGTATGTCAATATTTTTTGTGCATTTGGGCCAATTTGAGCAATCTCCTTTAATGTTAACTGGCCTCACAAACTCAGCCTGGGGTTTGATACTAGGAATATCAATAGAAATTGGAGGATGGTGTTCATCTAATCGAGACAACGGTTCAGCACCACATACACTAATGTTTTCCATATTAGAAAGTACAAGATCCAACATGCGTTTATTTTTATTAGTTACAATATTAAATTGATTAAGGTCTCAAAAAGATATTATTTCCAGAAGAAGTAAAGATTTAGCTTTTTGTTGCCCCACAATAGGTATCATGTGAGTGGAATTAACATCACTTATCCAAGACACGTCAGGAGTATTAAAAACGCCAATATTAATGGCTTTCTGATTATTTATAGTCTCTTTTATTAGTAATAGACAATTCTCATAAAAGCTCAGTAAATTATCATGATCCAAATAAGGAGTTCCCATGACATAATTTGTAGTATTGTAATTTCTTACAATACTACAAATTATGCTTGTGGAATTTTCGTATTTTCATGCAATATTTTGGTTATTTAAGTCCTTCATATTTGTTTTTGTTGCTTTTGTAATTTTTTTTCATTGTATAGTGAAAAGCTGTTCGATTGTTTCCTTTTGTTTATTTGTTGTTAATTTAATACATCCGTGTGAAGCCGAGACGGGCCGCTAGTTTTTAATAACTTGCAACAGCAGATGAATACCATCTTAGTCAATAATAACACAATTATGTTTCGTAATACACAGCTTAGATTAGTTTGGGATTAAATAAATTGTTGCATGTTTTTAATTTGGGTGAAAAAACTTTAATAAGTTCTGTGTTATGGAAGCTACTAATGTATTTACATATGACATGTTTTTAAGTACTACACACATCAAAAGTGTCTAGGGATCAACATATATTTTTGCAATAACTTTTCTCCTGATTGATATTAATTAAAATTTTCTTTAAGGATTCATCAAATAAAGTGTTTTCGTTTGTCACAGTAACGATAAACCAAGTCACCTTTGCATTAATAAAGAAATTTGCCATTTTCCTAATAAAGGGATTTTTGACATTTGAACCACTAACACAAAAGTTCGAAAAAAAGACTGAAATAACAGTTTTCTCTAAAATTTTATTGGGTAACTTAAACAATTAATAATCCGTATTTCTACCGCGAACACTAACAACACAAGAACATCGGTTTGGCATACTCAAAATGAGTTCATCCAAATCACGCTGTGGAATGGCCGCCCATGTTTGTTGCAACAACTATACTAGCATATCCCATGCATGCTCAATCGGGTTCAAGTCTGGCGACTGAGCAGGCCAGGGCAGGACATTGATGTTAGCTGCGGCGAGAGTCTGTCTTACAACTCTTGCGGTGTGCGGTCGTGCATTATCATGCATTAACTGAAATAAGGGACCGATTTGCACTTGTAGAGGAACGATGACGTCTGATACAATCGTCTCAGCATAAATTTGAGCGTTGAGGTTGCCTCTGATCCAAATCAACTCAGTTCTTCCGCCGATCCAAATACCCGCCCATACCATGATGGTTCCACCACTATAAGGATGGACTTCCTGGCAGGATTTTAATCGCTGTTGGCGTCCAGGGGTTCTCCAGTGTCGTATACGTCTTGTATCCGGTCTCATACCAAAACGAGACTCATCAGAAAAGCACACGAAACGCCATTGTTCTTCTGCCCAATTTCTGTGTTCAAGAGCCCATTGATATCGAATCCTACGATTGTGCATTGCTATAGGTGGTACCCGTAGCGGTCTTCGGGAATGAAGGTTCACTTCATGCAAGCGGTTTCTGACTGTTTGGTCGCTAATTAAGTTCCCTGAAGAGTGATGAAGCCTCACGGCTAACATCATGGCGGTTATTGTTGGAGCTCTTCGAGTTAAGATTTGAATGTATCGGTCTTGTCTCCGTGTGGTGCAGCGATACCGTCCTCCATGGCGCTCAGCCACGGTACCAGTGCTTCGGTATCGTGTCCAAAGTCGACTGATAACACTCTGACTTGTATTCAGAGCTAAAGCCACAGTACGTTGCCGGGAACCAGCTTCTATCATTCCCACGGCTCTGAGCATTTCTTCCCTGCTTAAATGACGTCGCCGCTCCATAATAACGTTGGTTTTAATCAGTAGTAGGGAAACAGTAGCACTAATAATGTCTTCAATGCGTTGTATGTTTTTATAGGGAAAATATTGACAGCTGATTTTCATCTTTTACTCGAATTTGATTCACAGTTCCTGATTCAAATTATGAAATGCACCAAAAAGGATCCATATAAATTTATAAAATCATAAATTTATTACAAAGCCACATCTCAATCTCAAGAAATCCGCATAAAAATGCTTGATCCCTAGACACTTTTGATGTGTGTATTATCAAATTTGTATCAAATAAGAAATGATAACTATTACAAACAATTTTTTATGAATTGGAAATAGAGATTTTATCAACAAGGACATTGACCAAAAATGTATGGACGCTGCACCTACGTCCGCCACGGCTTAAACTACATTTGTTTGATAGGTATTATAGTCAAGATCATCTGTGCCAAGGCGCATCAAATTCCATCTCGGGGGTCTTTAGTTATTTTAAGTAATGTACAAGTACTATAACGCACGAACATTAATGAAACAAGGAAATTAATTTAGTTAGTTTGTTCGACCCTACATAGGATGCTCAGGAATTATGGGAGTACTTCACAAGATGCAAGGGTGCCTTATATTATTTTGCCGCGCTAGAGTAAATCCAAAAATCTCCGCATGGGTTGGGTTTTTTTAAACATTCTGTTCGTTATAGTAAATTGTCTTCTATGTAAAACGGAGCGACCACAGATTACACAAACTTGTCCACGCTTCGGAGAACACATAATTCCAGTTCATCCATACTAATTGACAAAACCGATAATCGCGTTCCAATATCCAAAGCGTGTTAGATAAAACTCAATCAAGTAGCATGAGCGCACAATCACAACGAAGTAAGAGGAGTCGACTATTTGCAACTGCAAGTCCTTCAGCATCCGTAAACCATTTTGAAATGTCTCAGTAAGAGCAAGCGGAGGATGGTCGGCAGGCTTTGTCGTATATCTGGTTGTATAAGTACGATATGGCATATTATTATTATTACTAATAATATAAAATGAAGTTACTATAAAATTAATTTATTCAGCTACTTAAATATGCCCATGTGTCATATCTATAGACTGCCAGGATATTTTTTACAGTGTCATATCTTTTGACTCCCAGCATATTTATTTTCGATGTAATAATAAAAAAGGCTAGTTTTTCATAGATCTATCGATTCATACTAATTACATTGTTGGCGGAGCTGGGTGTGTTTTGCCCATTGTCCAAAGAATGATTAACTAAAAACTAAAAACAACAACGTAGTATTCATTGTTTTTAGTTTAGTATTTCTATTCTATAAAAAGCTTATCTTTTCTATGTATCCATCGATTCAATATTATAAATACGAAAGTGTGCCTGTTAACTTTTCACGCTTAAACCGCTGAACTGATTTAGATGAAATTTGGTATAGTTTGCGTCCCGGGAAAGGACATTGGATAGTTTTTTATCCTAGAAATCACCCTTTCAGGGGGTGAAAAGAGAGGTGGAAGTTTGTATGGTAACCCAATTTGTCCACGCAGACGTATTCGCGAAAAGCCCACTAGTATCCTATAAATTCTAATGGAAAATTTTAATTACACATTATTTGTGGAAGTCTAAACTTTTTTATGCATATTTTTACAAATCTGTTTTTGTGTTATTTACATTTAATGTTAAAACAGGCATTAAAATGCGTTGATGGGTCGTTCGTTACAGTAATGTAATTTATGAGGTTAAAAAGTATGGTACATAAATAATAAAATATTTTGTGATTATTATGTTAATCTACCTAATCAATTTAAATGTCAGCAGGTCGTCAATCAACACTATATAAAGCGATACAAAGGAATCTCCTTAGTTCATACAGTCCCGGGGTATTCAATTCTGTAGTTGGGGGCACCCACCCATTTACTTCTTTTCCCATATCATCAAACATTACGCATGGTTGATTGTGATAATGTAAAATATCAAAAAAAACTAAACACGGCTAACACATAAAATAAATTAAAATATATCTATGTAAATACAAAAATAAACCATCAAAACTTCACACATTTACAATAGAAAAAAGTTTTTAGTACACTGCAAAGTTTGTTACTGGAAATAGGTTAAGAAGTTGTTCTACATAGGAGATCGAGACTAGACGGAGGTTTATTACGTTTTAAGTCATGGAGAAATTATGGAACACTGAAAATGTCCTGGAATCCTGTAGCTTTATGTTACATCGATGTCTCTTGAAAATTGCCATGTAAGAAAACAACAAAGTATAAATTGCGGCATTGAACTGTATATGGTGTAATGTAACCTACCAATGACTGCCATAGCTGCCCCTAGCAGCATCAACAACAGGCCAGCGGAGAGTGCTCTACAGGCGTGCCATAAACATTGCGAACTCATCTTCCCTTTTACAACCTGCAACATCCATGTAATCGTTATGGCACTGTTTATATTACGTCGTAACACTACGTGATAATAACACAATCATTAAGAATTTCTTTCATCTAATATATTTTTTTATATATAATCAAGATTGTTTCGTATTACTATTTTTTCAAAATGCATACTTGTTTTTACACTCAACATGGGCTAACTTTGGCCAAAAACTCAATGGGAAGTTTTGTAGAGATGCGTTCACTAGAACATAATGTATAAATTTTGATCTTAATTTTTACTTTTTATAAATTAATTAAAGTGCTTAAAGTTCGATTTGATATTGTTAAATCAACGTTAGATTTGGTAATTATATCCTCTCGGATGTTAAAACGCCAATATTTCGAACTTGTCTCAGTTCGAAATATTGGCGTTTTGAGTCATAATATCATAGAGATGATTATTAAATAGAAATAAAATCATTTATCGGACATTGTTTTAAACATTTTCTGGTATAATTGCGTGCGCAACAAGTTCTCAGCCAACTGTTGAGTCGCTATCATTCAATGTTCACATTTGCGAATATCATCAACACCACATAATTGAACTTTTGGCACAGGTGTAAGTATGGGAGAGAAAATTATTCGAGTAACAATGTTTAATTGTTTGTATAGGCGTGTGAGTAAGTTTGGTTGTGTAGTGGAGTGTAAGGGGTAGTTTGTTGTACCTGGACGTTCCAGGTAGCGCCCGAGGCGGGGTGGGCGCGCCGCAGCGGCCCCGTGACGCTCCGCGCGCGCCGCATGCCGACTGCCGTCCGGCCGTCGTCCGCGCTCCCGCCTCTGCGCGCGCATGCAGCCTCCTTGCTCCAGGCCATCTGCGTCCCAATTCCAACCGACGAATCGAACCTTAACACCAACTCAAAACAATGTCAATACAATAAAAAATCTGAACGAGACACTATGCTAACCATTCTGAATGACGGTGATTGGAGAATGTGAGGGTGCTGAAAGCAAGCAACCGTTTGTCACATCGACTGTGCATTCGTTTAGAGATAAATCATGATCTATGCAAACCTACGCGTGCTTTTTTGGGTAGCGTATGTAGATGTACACATGATCAATGGTAGGTCATCCTTGATTGAATACCATGAATTTGTTAACATAAATAAGATAGGTACACAACCACAGATTGCTTTATACTTTGTAAACATACATAGCTTCAAGCCTTTACTCTTATGGGGTGGAAGAGCAACGCAAAAGGTTCAACAGTATTTAGATAAATGTTTTACTAACAGCTTCATTTCAGCGACACAGGTGGCGTAGAGATTTTGCTTTTCTAAAAGAGAAGTACGTAATTAGTCAGAGCAATTAAATTAACACTTAACGAAGACGTTTATTGTTCTTAGCGAAAATCATATAAGTAAAAATAAGTTTTATTGTTCTTAGCGAAAATCATCATCATCATCAACAGCCAGATCTTAATCCACTGTTGGACACAGGCCTCTCCAAATGCACGCCACTCAGATCGATCTTGGGCTACTCGCATCCAGCTCCTGCCAGCCACCTTGCGCAAATCGTCACTCCATCGTGCCTGACTGAGGACGTCTTACACTGCGTTTGCCTAGACGCGAAAATAATATATTTATATTACCAAAACATATTAACTTAGCTTGGTTAATATTAGGTTGGGGAAACAGTTTCTTCACATTTTGTATGTTTTTTTTATAAAAAATATTTACATTTAACTAAAGTATCTAGGTGCCATTATGTTCCATAACTTTTTGCCATCTTGTAGGTAGGGACATGATGCCATTGCTATAGACATTTTGGGGCTTTTGATTAAAAAACCGCGACAAGTGGTTTTGACAGTCCTCTCGTGATGTTAACCTGACATTGCCTAAAGAATTCTGAAGAGATCGAAACAGATAGAAATCTGAAGGTGCAAGGCCGTATAGTCCTATACGGCGGATGCATTAACACAGTCAAACTCACTTAATTTTTGCTAAGTGCCTAAAATGTGTGAGGTCTAGCGTTATCATGTTGAAAAACCACAACCCTTCCGTTGATTTATTCCTGCAGCTTTCTTTCAACTTCCTGCTTTAATCTCATCAGTTGTTCGCAGTAGAGTTTAGAATCGATGGTCCTGCCTGGCGGTAATAGTTCATAATGAATAATTTCCTTTCAATCCCACCATACACACAGCATCACCTTGTTGCGAGTTAACCTGGGTTTCGCCAGAGTTTGTGAAGCCGGACTTTGACCACGACCTTTTTCGCACGTTCTTGTCATACGTGATCTACTTTTGATCACCAGTTATCAGCTTTTTCAGAAATGGTTCGGTTTCGTTACGTCGTAATAAATAATCACAAATAAGTACACGGTCCATTAGATTTCTTTCAGTAAGCTCGCGAGGCATCCAAATATCGTCATTTTTCGTGTATCCAGCTTTTTTCAAATGCACCAAAACTGTTTTATGGTAACTTAACTACTAATATGTCGATCTAGCTCCATTATTTCAAAAATAGCATCCATTTTATCCGTAACAGGGCGACCAGAGCGACAGGTACTTAATTCCATTAGCTGTGGTTGAATTTCGGGGTTGTTTTGATGTGGGGGAGGGAGTCGGCCCTCCACTAAAGATTTTAGGCGGAAATGCATGTTTTTTTTTCAAATAACTTAACCTAATAATTCATTATTTTTTATGATACAATAACTAGTCTTCCAGGCTACCGCAACACCACCCGCACTTCCGGTCCGCATTGCTGGGACTGCGGTCCTAGCAATGCGGAGCGGGTGGCACGGTGCAGGGATATTGTCTGGGTTTTAGTGGCCCTGTACACTTCAGCTGGCTTCAGGGCTGGCTGAAGTGGACAGGGACTAGCCTTAGACGCTACGGGTCGAACGATGCTTGCGGCTTTGTCACAGCAGGCGGAGGTTGCTCTCCTTCCACGCCTCCGGGCTCTAAAAGACATTCTACGGGTAGGGCAGACCAAGACCACGGCGTGTCGGGGTTGACCAAGTCGGTTCTGAATTAAAGATTGTTGTAAAGCCACATTTACCTTTTTTTCTAAGTGTTGAGCCCATACTATTTTTTATTTACCAAGTAAATAATAGCAAATATTTTTTTTACCGACGAACACAGACTGCCTGACGGATCTCAAAACAAACATAAAATTGCGGTATAACTTATTTTTACCAAAGACAAAGAGAAACATGTTATTTTTGCATGAAAAATGGCAGCACTGATCAAAATAGCTGTCAAAATTGACTTTAACCTACAAAAATATTAATTTTCGGACTTTTTGGCGGGATCGAGAAACGTCACTTTAGCAGTTTTGCTTTTCTTGTTAAAAATTGTGTTGTGGCGGATGTTAGTGTTTAATAATGGTGGATTATTAACCACTAAGTGTTCGGGAACATTAACAAGTATTAGCAAGTGAAAAAAATAGCGGAAAGTGTCTTTCGACGTTCCCTTAAGAAGTCCACGGGGAGGTTCCAGTAAATCCCCACACTTTTACTGAAACATGGGGAAAGGGGATTGACTTGACTGCCAGTTACTTTGACTTGACTTATTACTTTGACCACGAGTGCTATAGTATTTGTATACCTACATTTAACACTTGACATTGGCTAAATGCACAAGCCGTGCGAAGCCATTTAGAAAAAAAACATTTTTTTCCGAGTTCTATTCGTTTCCGCCAAAAAAGATTTCGTGTACGTGTTTTAAAAATTAATACTTTGTGTGACAAAAATTTCAGCTCACTAATCAACCACAGCTAATGGAAAACTGAGCCAAAATTTAAAATGTATCGAATTTCTTCATTTGGATTTACTCATCTTGACAGTAAAATGAAACAAATGAAAATCACATATTTTTCTAATTTGAATTTGGAATTATCTTCTTTAAAATATAAAGTTCATACATACCAGGCCACTCAGAGAGTTTTGCGAAATAAGTTTTTAAGTAAAGGACACTGATATCGATTCTAGCATGATTCTCTAAAGCTAAACTTAAATTTGACAATAGTGCATCCTTGTCATTCTCTATACAGAAAAGGAGAGACTGATTTTAATTTAGTTTTAAGTTTAGAGAATCACGCTAGAATCGACACCACTGGCCACGTATAATTATTTTGAAAACTTCGATTATTTAAAAGTAAATATACCACTGTTCGACTTTGAAATTTCCCTCCGCATTTTTTCGAGAGCCAATAAAAAAATTCTTAGCTCATTAAAAATAGAATCTACATCGAGAACATTAGCGTGCTATGAGTTTTTACGATTTTAAATGTGACTTCGAACCTGATGAGTCATTTGATCGATTTGAACTGCTTTTATGGATGAAGGACCTTCAAAAGCAACCATCTACCGCTGGTGTAGTGAGTTCAAACGCGGTCGCCTTACTTTGGGGGGTTGAACAAAGGAGTGGTCGTCCTACGACGGCGGTCGCGAAGAAAGTGTGTTGGCAGTAAAAAAAATAATTAAAAAAAATAGACGAATTACGTACGATGAGATTCCGCATACTCTGCAGATTGGTTCAGGAAATGTTCACAAGATTTTGCAAGAGCACCTTTGCGTAAGGCGGATATTTTCCCGCTGGGTGCCGCACAACCTCACCGAAGCTCAGATTACAAAAATTTGATGCAGACTCGTCACGGCGCGTTTACGATATTGTGACAGGTGACGAATCCGGGATTTATCAATACGACCCAGAAACAAAGTGTCAGTCGACAGTTTGGCTGTTTCAAAATGAACCAACGCCTACGAAAGAGAACCGATCGAGGAGTGCAGGGAAAATTTTGATCGCTAGTTTCTTCACTTTGACGGGGTACCTTATTTCAATTCCACTTCGAGACCAAAGCAGCATCAACGCCGAATGGTATAGCGCAAAATACCTGCCAGAAGTTTTATCTGCAATGAGCAACAAGAGACCTAACACCGGGCTCCGCGGGGTCCTTTTTCACCACGACAACGAGCCCGCGCCTCTCGATCAAAACGAAGGACTTCATGGACTCCACACCAGTTAGAGTCATGGGACACCCTCCTTACAGTCCTAATTTGGCTCCGTGTTACTTCTTTTTATTCCCTAAAATAAAAAATCAGCTCAAAGTGATACACTAGCGCTAGCGCTAGCAGCGTTTGAGAAGGCCGTGGAAGAGTTGTCTGCGGAGGACTGGAAAAAATGTTTTGAAAATTGTTTCAGACGCATGAAACGTTGTATAGAGGCTGGTGGACAGTTCTTTGAAAAGATTTAATAAAAATATTTTTTCATAGAAGTTAGTTTTTTAGTTTCTCAAAACTTTCTGAGTGTCCAACGTACTATAATGCGAAAAGACCTTTTCCCCAACCTATAATGTTTGGGTAATCTATCGAATAATGAAAACATTATTCAAACCTAACTAACTAAAGTGTGATTAGATTTTCAAGATTGTATCAAACTTTTTAATAATGGGTCTCGACTGTTTAAGTATCTTTGTTCCTTACTTAACAGAATTATAGACTACTAGACTCGTTTTTTTCTTTTTAGTTTTTATTTGAAGTAATATTTAAGCAGTCAGGATTTTAGACTTTTTAAATTTATCTTTTTTATTCACACTTTTTAGTTTTGATTATAAGACGGTATATGAATACCGCAGTCTTGTCACTTCAGCAAGGGAATTAATGTCGCGGGGATTATTAAGTGCCTTCGGTGGTCTGATAAACGATTGATTAATTAAGACATAATTATAGAGAGACCTTACCACCAGGGTCAAAGCTATAGATGGGCCTCAATTTTCTCAAAAATATGTGAAGTAAAATCAAGTCGTTACCTATATATCCAA